AAGCTTAGACTACTTCATGTTTAGTAGTTGGTGATCATAACTTCTGTAAACTTCTTTAATAACAAGTGATTAAGCACCTATTAATTATTTGTACATTTGTAATGATATGTATGCAAACTTACTATAAATCCCTTTCTTTTAGTTTTACATACTTTGAACAGGTAAGTCTTAAATCAATTTCAAACACCAAATTTAATATATTGTTTGAGTGATTTTCCTTAAAACGCATTTCAGAACTGCTTCTAGATAGAACTGCATGCTCATTTGTTTTTTTTTTTTTTGAATCATCAGAACAGGTACAACTTTTTTTTTTTCCAATTGCAGTCTTTTCTCAGGAAGCAAACTGTAAAAGGTCATCATCACAAGGCATTCCTGAAAATTCACTGAGACTCTCAGCTTGCATTTTAGTGGTTCTATTATAAGCCTTGGAAGCTGCTGTAGGTACTGAAACCTTATTGCGTTTAAATGAGGTAAGATACGTTAACTATCACTGCAATAATGGTCTTTGAAATGTACTGCCGGATTCTTTAATTACCTTTAAATGCTTTTTCTAGATTATGATAAAATGCTTCCTTTTTGGGTTCTGGCAATATAAGTTGGTCTTTCACAGCCTGTGTTTACAATTTAACCTTAATGTCTATAAACATCTTGTGTAGTTTTTTTTAGCATAAACACTATTTGATCTGTTTTTTTCTTATCGATATCAAGCTTGCAACATCTTTGATTTTAATTTCCCTGCTTATCATTTCTCCAAAGGAGAGCATTGTGCAGTCAAGTTCATTTTGGAGGGCAAAAATATTAATTAATGCTTTCATATAAACCAGTGTTCTGGTAAAAACCTTTATTTGTAACCCATGTCTTCAAATAATTTTTAAAGTGACAGTGACATTATTTGTCACAGTGAGATGTGCTTGAGAATACTGAATCATACTTCTCTGAAATTTGGATAGTGATGACATAAATATTTTGATGTAGTTTTCATTAATTATATCCCAAAATTGTTTGTTTCTCCCTAAATTGCATGTGAAATATCAGGCTAGAAAGTAAATTAATAAAAATGGAGGAAAGCTATTATTTGCCTAAGTGAGTCTCACAAGTGGTGGTAATTTATCCTTAGTAGCTGAGTTCCTGGGCTCTCCTCCTCTTCACTTGCCGGCTAGATATCCACCCCTGCAGTCCCCAGCAAATATTACCACGCGCTGAACCAAGTCAGCAGTTTTGACATCTTCATTTCAATGTCCTTTTCTGTACCTTCACCAATGTTAATGTTACAAATTATAGGAGGGCATATTAATAGCCATACCCAAGAAGCAGAAAGAAAAGTGCATTTTTTAAAACTAAGTACTAACTTGGGATTTCCGGGGCCCATTGTCAAGTCAGCCGAACCCCCAGCTCCTCCATTGTGATGATAATGGATTCCGTGTTGTTGCCGCTAAGGTCGCGAGGTCACCGTAAGCTCCTTAATGGACTGTGAAATAACTTTAACTGCATTAACCTCTCTGGATCACATGGGTGGCACCCACAGCCACTCCTGAAATTCTCATTCGCTTACAGAGACAATACCATTAGATTATTATATTTTCCATTCGGGATAGCAATAGGCTCGAAGCAATTATACAGCTAAGCATTTCCATTAAGGGAATAGGACCTGAAAGAAGATGAACTAGAACATCTCTGAATCACATATATGGGGGTGGCAGTGGATACCCCAGACATTTCGCCAGATTTTTCAGGTGACTTCAACTCAGAGCATCTGGACACTGGGTCTTAGGGTAGCTAGAAAGGCACTGGATGAAAGGAAACACTTTGCATGTGCTCAGAAGGATTCTCTCTTTTCTTTAAACTGAGACTGTATCTAGGGGTATACATTTTCCCATCTACTGATTTTCCTAAATGAAATTATGTTTGAAAATAAGAATGGTGAGAACTAAGAATTTCCATCACAGAAAACTCTACTGGAAACCACATATGTTCCTATCCTTCCCTAGCTCCTTAGCTCCGGAAATCACTGACAGAGACTCTCCTCCAGGAATCTCAGGGCTATTCTCATTTCTGCCTGCTGGTTATTGTGTTTAAAAACCAAAATGATTTCCTTTGCAGCCACACAAAGCCGGGAAGCCCTTTTTTCTGAAGGACAAGAATAATTGCTCTTGGTTTGCATAGATATAATCAGACATCTATTTACCCACAAGTTAAGCCCTGCTGGATAAGTATTCAAGACAGATTTAGAATACCATGATCATCAGTATTGTCCTTAAAGTGCCTCACTGTCATCTTGATATGACATAGCAAAAACAAAACAAAACAAACCACATTAAACACATCTTTGAAATATTTGATTTTCTAGTGGGATGTCATGAACCAAAGAGTGAAAACAGCTCTTATTTTTTGGCTTCCAAAGTGTGTACATATTAATGTTTTGAAAAATTAGGTTCCCACTTGCTGTCAATTTTTGTATGTACCATGGCACTTTTTTAAATTCTGGGAAATTTATTATAATTTAGGATGTGTTAGTATTAGGCAAAATAGAAAACTAATTGAATACACAAATACCTTCTCTTTAATCTTTTTTTTTTTTTTTTGATACTTAGGCATTGAACTCATGCTTGCCAGGCAGGTGCTTATGCCACTGAGCTAAGCCCCCAGCCTCTTTAATCTTGATCTGTGTGTCTATTGTATCTCTTAACCTTGGGGAAACAGTTTTTTTCTTTTAATCTTGGAGATTTGACTGGAGTTAGCTATGCTGGAGAGGGAGAAAGGAGAGAGAGAAGGGAGGTGAAGGAGAGCATTCACTCCTATCTGAGGAGTAGAAAGTTGGGTTTCTCGCGCTATCTCAAAATTCTGATAAAGGGCACAGAGCCAAACACCTGAAACGTAGGATTTGATCATATTCTGTACCACTATAAAAGAAAAAGGAGTCTTTTGTGAAAGTCTGTGCCTCTTTTTCTGATCAGGTATATTATGACTGATGGCCCCACCAAGAGAATCACTGGACTCCCACGCGCTCTTCAGCAAGGCTGCTGCTTGTGTGCCACGCACCCTCACAGTGCACACAGGTGGAGCCTGGCACAAGTAAATCAGCAGCAAGGGGAGATGAGGGGCACCAGGGGTGCCGGCCCTGGGAGGGCACTGGTACACACTCACTTCCTTAACTCAGGAGGTAGAGCTGTGTGTCTGACTGGTAGGTCGCCTTCTGACTTCAGCTTACTGCAAAACTACCACAGAGGGATGGTGCACCTCTGGCTTCCTATGTGGCTCGGCCAGCCCGCTAGTGGCAGGTCAGATACTTTCTGAATGGGAGGCTCCTGGAAGTGCGAAGACACCAGGGGGACCTGTGAGTTGCCTCCTGGTCTCGTGGCCCAGTGGCAAAACTGCAGACTAATTGATTCATTCATCTACAAATATGTACAGAGTGCCACTAAGGAGCAAGGGGAGCTGGCGCAGCCTTTTATGAAGTGTGTGTTTGGGGTCTGGATCCATGAGGTGGTGAACTCTCAGGACAGTGTGCACCACCTTGTGATCCTGAAGGAAGCTGAGTATTTTTAGCAGTTCATCTGACAAATCTGTTTGCACACTGATGAGTATGAAACGGAGACACTTCAGCTCGGTTCTTGCATCTCTCTGGCTTTTGCCACAATGCTGGGAATGTGCAGAGCACCTGAATCTTTCAAAGTCTGTAGTAGATCCAGCAACACATGAAAAGAATTGTGCATCATTGCCAAGTGGGATTCATCTCCAGGATGAGAGGCAGGCCTAATATCCTACAACCAATTAACGCCAAACATCTTAGCAATGGAATAGAAAGCCAAACACACATGATCATCTCAATAGACACAGAAAGTCACTTAGCAAAATCTGCTATTCTTTTGTGATAAAACATACAACAAACTATGAACATCTACCCCACTGCCAGGAAATGTGCTAACTTTACACTTAATGGGGAAAGCAAGAATGTGCTTTCTTGTTTAGATCAGGAGTTAGATAAGCATGGCTGATCTATCCACTTCTATTCAACATTTGCAGTAGAGGTTTAAGCTAGGATAATTAGGCAAGAAAGGTAATAAAAGGAATTAAGATTGAAATGGGAGGACAGTCATAGAGGACATGACCTTTTATATAAAGAATTCTATATAATTCACTAAAAAACTATTAGAACCATAAAAAGAGGTTACAGGATACAAGGTCAATACACAAAAGTCAATTATATTTTATATACTTGCAATGAACAATCTGAAAAGGAAAGAAAAATATCAATTCTATTCACAAAATGTTTTAAAAGGTTAAATAATTAGGAATAAATGTAATAAAAGGGGTGCTAAATGAATACTCTAAAACTCACAAAACATTGGTGAAAATAATCAGAGACCAAGTCACTGGGCCAGCATCCCATTTAATGGGCTGGAAAACTGAGCATGGCTAAGCCAATGTCCAAGAGCTGGTAGACCAGTCCAACATAAACTCTATCAAATTCCTGGGAAATTTTTGTCGTAATTGACAATTTACTTGGAATTTCTAGAGTTGAGCCCAAAACAAAAGTACTAACATGATTCTCAAAAATAACCAAGTGGGAGTACTCACACTTCAAAACTTAGTACTTTTTACAAATAGTAGTCAAGATAATGTAGTACTGGCATAAGAATAGACACAGAGATTAGTAAATAACAGACTGAAGAGTCCAAAAACAAACCATTCAACCATGGTCAGCTGATTTTCAACAAGGTGCTGATAAAATTGTATATATGGAAGAAAAAAAGACTTGGTTTTTTGGAGAAATGATACAAAGACAATACTCATGTAAAAGATTAAAGTTGATTACTTACTGCACATTTTACACACTAAATTAACTCAAAAAGGAATAAAAACTAAATAAAAATGTAAAACTACAAAACTGAATGCAAAAGTATATTTTTTAAAGTTAAACAGTCTTAATAAATTAAAAATTAAAAATCTTTGTTCATCAAAGAAGATCAAACAATTGAAAAGACAACCAACCCACAAGATGGAACAAAATACTTGGAAATAATATAGCCAATAAAGAATTAGTGTAAGGAAGGTACAAAGAACTCAGGACTCAATAATAAAAACACATCACCTGAGCGAACATTTCTTCAAAGAAGTTATACAGCTGACTGATACACCCATACAAATATGTTCAATATCATTAGTCATTGGGAAGATACAGATTAAAATAACTAAATATTGCTTCATAACCTTGAAGATGTTGGGAACAAAAATAAGTAAGGTGAAGACAAGGAAAAATAGCCCTCATATTCCATGGACCAAGAAAAAAAGTGGTGGAAAAATTACTGGGAAAAAGACAGGAATCTGCTCAAGCGTGAAACATTGGTAGACTAACAAGACCTAACCGTGCTGCCACTAGGTACATAATCAGGAGAAATGAAAACGTATGTCTACCCCAAATGTGCGCATGAATAGACACATATTCCATGCATAAATAGCATGATCAAAAACAGAGGGAAGATGTAAATTTCACAATGTAAAAGACACATCAGTGTTAATTTCCCTAAATGCGTCCCCCATCATTGCTGCAAGTCCTCTTCCATGAGTATCTTTAGTTTGTCGTGGAGGCTGCCTCAATATCCATATTCAAATCTTCAAGTTGCTTCATTTTCATGGTCACTCTGACTGCGGGGAAGAACCGGAAGTCACATGATGCTGGGTCCGGTGTAAAGGGGCAGGACATCCTGGCTGCTTTGAATGAGCTTCCTTTTCTTTACATGCCAGTCAACAGCAAGGTTCACCAGAGTTTGGATATCTATCAAAGACTGTGTGAAAGAGAACTTTCAGAACTGCTTCAGAAAGTGGCAAAAGTGATGCAAAACTGAGTGAAGTGAGGGGAATATCCTGAGAAGGATTAGGTAGATGGATGGATAATAGATAATGGAGAGATAATAGAGACAGAGAGTAGATACAAACAGATAATAGATCATAGGTAGATAGACAGTGAGTTGGTGAGATATATGCTCTTCTAGGTTAAACCTCCCAGTGAATCTCCTCCTCCTCCTCTTCTGACCAGGTCTCACTTCCTAACAGCATTTTTGTCTGAGCATAGCACCCCCACGATCCAGTCATCTTCTGAAACTGAACACTTGAATCTTTTGGGGGCCACTCTCAGTCTAAACCACAAGAGAGGCAGAGATGACAGATGACAGGGAAGGGGCTTCTTTTTAAAATAATTAAATTATTTTACATTGACCATTGTGATCTTTGCAAATATCTGTGAATGTCCCGAGATACACTGAATTTATAGAATTTATAAGGGTAAATGATATGATATAGAAATTAGGCCATAATAGAACTGCTATATTCTAGAGTTCGTCTGTCAAGATAGGTACTCTAGAACTGTCTAATCATCAATCAGATACAAAGCTCATTTCCCAACAATAGACAAGCAAGTTAGCCAGTTTGTTATTCTCAGAATTATACATTAGGACTCAAATTGGGGTAGGAGTTAAAGCAATTGACAGGAAAACTTTGAAGCAACAGGACATTTGAAGACTTATATGCAAATAGTCTAGATTGGTTTAACTTTACTCTTATATCTAGGTTTATATAAGCAAGACTAAGAATTCATGATATTCAATAATAAAAATTAAAAAGTATGTCAGTGCCCTGTATTTGAACACCATTGTTCAAGAGCAATAAAGATTCCAATTTTACCCCCTTTCCCTTAGGAATTGGACTTTAATGTGCTTCTTGTCTCCAGGTGGCACTTTCCAGCGCTCAAGGTTTGTATCATGCCCATCTTTTCTCTAGAGTTTTAAAAAAGCAGCTAATCTTCTCCATAATGGATGTAAGTGACAGTGCGACTCCTAAAGCCAGAAATAACATGTTTGCTATCCTCAGATGAAGCAGTGCTGAAGAAGGGTAGGATCACTTCAGGATAAATACAACCCTCAGGCTCAAAAAGAGACCCCAGAGCCATTCCTTGTCTCTGTAGGGAGCGGAGATAATGGGTGGGTGTGTCTTTGTGTAAGTGTCCTGCTGAAGTTTATTTGCTGCGGGTCTAAGGTGCCTTAGCGTTCTGCTGGGAAGGCTTGGGTGTGCTACACTGTCTGTCTGAGGTGCTTTACCTTCCCAGGTCCTGCTCCCATTAGTATCCATTGGATGATGGATTTTTAATCCACGCAGGCATTTTTCATATATCAGAAGACAACCTTAAAAAGCCTGGAGATACCAATATTAATTTCACACTCTTCAAGGACACTTCAAAATTCCCTTGAGGGCTGTTCCTTTTTCTCTTGTCAGTGTTCAGGGCCTAAGGAAATACTGAGCATCACCAGGCTTGGTCTATTGTTTGTAGGGAAGGATGCTTCGGGAAATCTTCCGGGATGGTTCACTGAAGTTGAGCTGGTGATGAACTCTGGAAGAGAATCACAGTATCAAGTGTGTTAGCTTTCTATCACTGATGAAATGCCTGAAATACTCTTAAAAGCAGGAAGGATTTATTTTGGGTCATAATTTAACAGATTTCAGCCCATGGTTGGTTGACTTCATTGTCTTGGGGTGTACGGAGAGGCAGATTTCGTGGCAGGGAGTTATGGGTTAGCAAAACTGCTTGCTTCTTGGCTTTAGAGAAGCAGAGAGAGAGAGGAAAGGGTTGGGATCCCAATGTCTCTTTCATGGGCCACACCCCAGTGACCTTACTTCTTTCCAGCATATCCCAGCTCCTAAAGCTTTCACTGATTCCCATAAAGTCACAAGCTGGCGACCAAGTCCCCAATACATGGCTGTGGGGGCCACTTAAAGCCCAAACCATCTCATCAAGAGACTGAATCATTCGACACTCGAGTGTCACATGCTTGTCATGTGCAAAGGCACTGAGGCCAGGGGAGTGATATACAAACACTACAACTCGGCCACCAAGTGGAGTGAGGAGAGGGTACACCCCACACAGCTGTAATATCAACTGTAGGTGATGAAAGCCTGAGAGATATGCACAATAAGACAGACAGAGGCAAAATGCTCTGAGAACTCAGAGCGAGAGGGAAGCAAGCTGCCCTCATGCACGTGGTATACCTGAGCTGGAACCATGGCTGTATGGGTGAGCACATTAAAGACAGAAGTCTTTAATTAATTAAAGACAAGAGTCATGAAACTTAGGACATTCAGCGGAAAGGTGAGTAAGGACATTTGGGATCGACATAGAAAATTAACAGGAGAAAAGTCTGGAAAGTAACCTAAAGATGGGATTAACACTAACTGAAGAAATTTGGATTTCACCGAGAGTGTGATGATTAGCAGACATTGCAAAAGTCCAGACAAGTGTGAATGTGAGTTTTCCAGATATACAGTAAGTGGCAAATTAGCAGGATTCCCTGAATTGGTACAGTGGTTTATGCGTGTTTGCTCCTTAAGAGTTCATATATGGAAGTTTGGCCATCAGTGTGAAAATACCAAGAGCTTGTGTGGAACCGTTGGGGGTAGGGCCTTAGGGTGAGTTCTTGGGGAGCCACCTGAAAGCCTAGCAGGTAAAGTTTTGTAAAAAGGTTTTTATAAAAGAGAAAGCACGGCTAATCCATGTCTGTCTGTCTCTCCCTTTCTGTCTCCCTCTGTCTCTGTCTCTGCCTCTGCCCTTGCCTCATCAGGGATCATTCCCTCTTGCACACATCCCTGACTGATTGAGGCAGGGCACTCTTTTCAGAGCAGAACCATGCTGTTTGAACTTCAGTCTCCAAAACCATGGGCTAAATAAACCTTTTTTCTTTATAAGTTACTCAGTTTGGGGTATCTTGTAATAGTAACAGAAAATGTACAAATTCAGTTGAAAACTGATTTAATATAGAGCATGAGCTAAGGCACAATGAAAAGATCACACCCAGACACCAAGTAATGGTGTGGAATGGAAATGAGGATATGAAAAACAAAAGCCTACTTTGAGAGAAAGATTATGGTTGTGAACTAATGAAATTGAACTTTTTTGGTTTTGTTTTTGTGTTTTGGTACCAGGGATTGAACTCTCAACTGCACGTTTGCAAGGCAGGCACTTATGCCACTGAGCTAAATCCCCAGCCCCTAAATTGAACATTTTAGCTTATACAACAGGGGACCTTGTATACTTAGTAGAAGTATACAATTAGATGAAGTCATGATTATAAATTACAGATTCCAGGTTCACCTACATATCAACAATGGCTAAATTTTTTAAGAAAATAAAACACTAAAGATAAAAATATAGTTAACAACAAACACAAACCTTAGAGACAATCTAAACACACACAATTGAGGAGATCCATATTCCAAATCAGAGGAGAGAGAGTCAGAGACCTTGAAAGAGTTAGCATTACAAAGTTAGGAGGGAAAGCAGGACAGAATTTCAAGGAAGAGAAATTGGATAGGAGACCAGGGAGGAATAATGGTGATTGTGGAAGAAAAGCTATTGATTTGATGGTGAGGAAGATGTTTGGAGAGGAATCAGCAAATAAAGAAATCGGATGCACAGGAACACTGCTATGGCCTGAGTGCTCTGTGTATACTGCTGTAAATTGTCACATTCAAATCCTGACCCCCAAGGTGAGAGTATTACAAGGTGGGGCCTTTAGAAGATAGGGATTAGTGCCCTTCAGAAGGAGGTTTTGGAAAGAGATCCTATGTCTTCCACCACATGGAATAACACTGAAAAGATGCAGCACATGAATCAGGTTGGCACACAAATCAGGTAGGTACTTAGACATCCCAGCCTCCAGAACTGTCAGAAAGAAATTTTTCTTGTTTATAAACTGCCCACTGCCTGACATTTTGATATAGCTTCCTGTAAGAGACTTAAGACAGATATTGTTACCAACAGTTGTACAATATTTTTTCTTGTTACCAAAAGTTATATAATATTTTTGCAACTCATAAAGCACTTTTAAAAGTTCTGAGCAAAGGAGGAAATTCTATTAATCAAGTTAGTTTTTAAAGTTTCTAGCTTAAATATTCATTTTCAGGAAGCCATGGATGAAACCAGTGAGAAACCCAGCCACAGATTAGAGCACAGGCTAATTATCATTGGGAGTGTAATTAATGCATCTTATAATTAATTAATAGGGACTAACCTCAGCGAGACCCTGAGATCCCTAAATCATGTGTAGGTGTATCAATTTTATATAACCATCTCATATTAAAAAAGAAAAAGGACCAAAGTTTTGAATCTAAAAAGGGAAAATGTAAAGGTCAGCTTTAATCTTTATAACTGTAATAAAACTGAGGTAACTTTTACTAAATTCAAAGGTTATATAAAGGAATCAGGAGAGAGGAAAGTTGTGCCCAGGGCTACCATTTTTGAACTTCAGAAGATTAAATATACTCAGGAGATAGAGTGAAAAACTCAGCACAAACCTTTTTTCAGGAATAACAAATTTGGCTTTTACTTAATATTCATCTGCCTATTTTACATGTACTATGTGAAAAATCTTTCCCTACAAATAATTTAAGCTCAATTTTCTGGAGGGGACTGGAAGAAAGGATTGAAAATCATCGAGATGTTTCACATGAGTTGTAGCCAGGGGTTGTAAGGAGAACAATTAGAATCAGGACACAGAATTTATAATATTATTTTATGATGGTCACCAAGGTTAACACAAGAAAGTGCAGGAAATCTGTCCACAACACTAAAGACTCTGAATATTCTGCCAAGGGCCTGGATCCCACAGCAATGTCCTGCTGAAAACCAAGAGCCCATGACAATGCCTCCCATGAGTCCAACTGGAGGTCTTGAGCCCTTGAGAAGGACTCACGCCAGTCTCTTTTATGGATCTGCACTGGGAAGGCCTAAAGGTCAGCAGTGGAAGCTAGAAAGTCTATGCCAGCAGGGTGAAGGAGCTGTGCTGGTAGGTTGAGGGTTCTACCCTGGAGCCGAGAAATCACACTCAAAACAAATATCAGGGCTGTCCTGAAAAGCATCACAGCCATCCTCAGTGACATGGAGGTCCTGAGCTTCTCTGAGGAAAAGAACAGTTGAGTACATGCCAGGAAGCCAGCATTACACTTCTCTTGGAGATTAAACAGCACACATCTTCCCCTCCAGAGCCAAGAAGCAATGCTCTATGTAAGGACAGAGCTCCCCCAAAGTGAACCACGGCCACTCTCACCAACAAGGTCCCGAGCTCCTCTGATGATAATGGCCAAACTCATACTGGGAAAGCAAGCCGTGATGAGCTCCCCCAGGAGAATCAGCAGCCCAAAACAGCAACACTTAGGAGAACTCACAATGCCTAGCTGCTCTTCACCATGTCTCTATTTATGCTGGTAACTTTCCTCAGGTGGAACATCTACACTCGGCACCATGCTGATTTAATTCCACTGGTGTTAACTACCAGTTTTTAATCCCTAACAGTGTGCATGAACAAATTCCCCCAAAGGGATATCACTATTTTGTCTCACAAGCATACACTAATAAAAGAAACTTTGCAAACCTGCCAATTTTTAAAAAAAGTTTTCTAACTAAGTGAATATCTCAAAGATAAAACCAGTTTCATTTGACTCACCGGAGGCCCTTGTGCTTGTTAAGGTAACTCTGGTTAGAAAAGCTCATTCAGCGTCTTTTTCACGGGGCATCCCTGGCTGCTCTGATCAGCTCCTCAGTCTCACACCCTGAAGCTCCTTTCCTGGTTCTGGAGGAACAGGAAAAAGGATGCTCCTTCCCCAGGGTGTGGAAGCCTTTCCTCTACTTAGCTTTTCAATTTAACAATAAGCTTTCTTTTCCTTGCATATACACAGCCCTTCTTTAACCTCAAATGTGTAATGTTTCTTAGAGCTAAGGACTTCTGACAAAATTCACAGTCTTTTAAGGAAAAATCCTGTGCAGTTAGAAAAAATAAAGGCTATAATTCTTATTTTGCAGATGAGAAAAATTGACCTTATAAGGACGAAGTGGCTGTCCCCAGTACTGCCTGGGCATCAGAGGCACTGGTTTGCTATCTGTCAACCACACTGGAAGAGAAGCTTCTGGGTGTTCATTGCTGCCACCTTTGGCTCTAGAACATGGCATGCCACACATTCAAGGCTCAGTAACACTTAAATACATGAATAGCCAGGGATGATCCAAATGAAGCCCGTGTACATCCATGACAATAACTGTAGTCAGGGGCAGAGGACAAGAACTGAATGATGGGGGATGTGAGAAATGGAGACTACCACAATGAAGGTTGTGCCCATTCCCTTCATAGAGCAGGCTTACTAAGCCATAAGTCACAGGCTTGATTTCTTATCATTTTGTTGCAGTATAAGTGACATGCAAAAACTTCCACATGTTTAATGCACACATCTTCTTGAGTTTGGACAGATGCCTCCCCCATCATTCTATCCTCACAACTAAGGTATAAAACACAGCGATCACCTCCAAATACTTCCTTGTGTAATTGGCAAACTGCCTTAAATGTGAAATTCAATGGTTTCTATAGAAGTGTGCCATGAGCACCACGATCCAACTTCAGAGCATTGCTCTCACTCCCCAAACAGAGCTCACACCCACTTTCAGCTCTCCCCATGCACCCCTGAGCCCAGGCAACTTGGGATCTGCCTTCTGCTAGAGCTGCCTTTTTTCTTTTTCTTTCTTTTTTTTTTTTTTTTTGATATTTCATTTCAATGAAATAATACAATATGTCCAATTTATTTTTGCTTAGCGTGCTGTTTTGGGGTTCTGTTTTAATGTAAGATATTGTCCCACTGTTCTGTTATAACACATTGCATTTATCTGATTACCAGTTAGTGGACCCTGGGTTTGTTTCCACCTGGTTCAAAATCAATCGACCCTAAAAGAAAGAGTTTACTTTAGACTCCGGGTTCTGTCCTGTGATCTCTCCTGCTCGCAGCTAACGTAAGTCTGACTTAGATTAGGTTTATTATTCATTCATTCATTCATTCGTTCACTCGTTCATTCAATATCTTGTTTGAACTTGAAGCACACACCAGCTACTGTGCTGTGCAGTGAGGTTAAATAGATGTTGTAACTTCATCTTTCAGGAACATCAAAAGTGTGGCAAAGGGTTGGTAAAATCTGCTTTTAAAAAAACTGAAGGAGAGTGCCAATTTTTTTTTTTTTGTCTTTTTGCTTTTTATTGCTACCAGGGATCGAACTCACGACTGCCTGCTTGCAAGGCAGGCACTTGTGCCGCCTGGCTAAATCCCCAGCCCCTGAGAGTGCCAATATTTTCTGAGCCCGGTTAGTGAGTCATTTACTTAGAATGTTAAGAATTAAACAGCAGGATCAGGATTGTGAGGACATCACATACTTCTGTCTCTCTGAAGACTTGTATTTGTGCTCCTTGTTAAACTCTGCAGGGTTACACAGCAGTCCTCCCCAGCACACACATTTGCTATGGTGCTGTTTGCAGTGCAGAGCTTGGAGGGGCGTTGCTGGAGCAATTGTGTTTCTCTTCCTGACCAGCCTTGGGCTGGAGGCTAAGGACTGAAAGAGGGGTGCATGAGAAGGCAGAACCCCAAAAGACGTAGCCTGGTAGCTGTTGACAGAAGGGCTCATGAGGCTCTGTGAAATGGGGGAGAAAGGAAGCCCAGCAAGGAAGCCCTGTCCAAACTGAGAAGCAGCTCCCCGCAGCCTCAGCGGAGGGAAGACCTGGGACAGTCTCCTGCTGAGCCCTGGACGTAGGTGGGTGTCCTGGCTGAGAGTACACACAGGTGTAGGTCCTGGAAGGGTAGCAAAGGGGCAAATACTGGCACTTGGTGTATCTTCATGACATGGACATGGAACTCAAGCCTCTGGGCCTCAGTTTCTATAAAGCAGGCATGATCATACAGTTCTGAAAATAAAAGAGCCAGTGTATATGAACTATAAGCAAGTACTACATAAATATTTCGTGATAGGGTTCTATCTTTCTTTCTATATGTAGCTCGCAATGTCTGGGAGACATACTGAAGTACACCTGGAGGATACTGCAAATATATTCTGGGAAGCAATCGTCTAGACACACATATTTGGGAGCAAGTCAAACACAATATCTGCATTTAGTCAGAGGGAAATGAAGAAAAAAATGCTAGGAAATAAAATTTGAGTGTGTAATAACATAAAAGTATAAGAATCAAGGTAGCACATACTAGAAGCCAAAGGAAAATCAAGTTTTAGAAAAAAATGAGATGCTCAGCATGCAACTTGTTAAAATTTTTATGTTAAAAAAGGGTAAAACTAAACAGAACAAAGCAGATCAAAAGCAAAACAATGTAAGTGACACAGATTTCAAAGCAAGACAACAGGAGAGCTACAGTGGCTACCATAATGTCTCTTGTTTTCTTCTAAATAATTGTCCGTACCTTCACACACAACTAATTCTTACAAAACAAAATAGGATAAAGCTGATCAGAACATTCAGCTTGACCATGACTCCTGGCTTTCTTCATGCAATTTCAGTTTCCTCTAGCATCAAAAGCATTACATTTTGAAGTTAAATTCTATGGTTATCCTATCGAAATTAGGCAATGGGGGCTGGGATGCCTGAGAAAATGAGACGGAAGATAAAGTCGCTGGCCCTGGTGCTGGAGAGAAAGCAGAGTTAGGGAAAGGTTGAGGCTGAAGTCAAATGACAAGGCGCAAGAGGAGGATCCCAGTCAGTCGGAGCTCCAGACCTTTCAAGTAGTGGGGAGGGAGGACTGTCAAAATTAACAAATAAAAACAGGGAATGCTGTTAATTCCTAATGCTTGGAGCATAATTCTACTAAAAAGTCCTTCAAAATTCAAATTTAACTAGGGAAACTCTATTTATCTGGCAAGCCTAGAAAAGGGAAAACCACTCCTTTATTTTAAGGTTAAAACTTACACACATTAGGGAGGCTTCACGGAGCTTTGAAGTATGGAAATATTATCGTGTCTGACAAATCCCAGGTAAGTTTTTTCTTTTGCTGGTGAAAGATGTTGAAGATTCAAAGTCGAACAGGTAAGAGAATTAGAGGTTGAGGTGCCTGGATTTGAATTCTGACTTTGCCACCACCTAGCTAAGTATCAGAAGGCAAACAACAGGAAGTCAGTTTGACAGGACTTTTAGAATTAGCTGAGATTTTTAAACATTTCAGTTGCCGTAAGCATTGCAGAACTTGAAACGTATTTTGTAAAACCTACGTGTATGTTACACTGTAAGTCATAAATAAATATTGCTATTATTTCTAATGCATTCCTACTCCCTTTAAAAAAGAAAATAATTGTCTTGTGAAGGTTATAAAATTTCAATATGTTCACTACAAACACATTCAAATAGAAAATAATGAGCAGGTCATATGCAAGTATATACAAACCATCATATAACCGCATGCGAGGAGTCACCTGTGAAAATACCGCTGCGTGCTCCTCTCCTGATGGAAGCAAACGAGAATAAGGGCAACTGACGAATGTCAATCTTAGGTCATTTTGACAGTTGAAATCATGAAAATAATACCAAAAGCTTCTAATGGTAAAAGAGGTAATTCCTGATTGTTGTCTAATGCAATTTAGGAATGTAATTAGAGAAACGTTAATCATGTTGGCATGGAATGGACCTACCTGCCTTCTGATGGTGCACACTCTAAGGTCTCCTTCCCCTTGTCTCAGGAGGAAGGATTTAAAAGTCAATCCATACAATGCCAAGTTGTAGACAAAACGAGAGATATGGTTAAGAGAAGCACAATGAAGTAGGAAGTCAGAAAAGATTCCAGAAATTATTCTGAACCTTTGGACATACTGTCTGTCCTATTTCAAAAGCTCTTTGTCTTTCATCTCATAAAACCTGCTGGAGGAAAGCTTGCTTTTCTAAATGATCTTACATACTTTCTTAGAACAACAGGTCCTGTAGATTTTCCTTCTTTACCTTGAATTCCGAGACACATTGCTGTGCATAGAGTGGCTTTCTAAAAAATTTTACTCAGATTTCAAAATTCCAAAACCAAACTATTGTCTTATTTCTGCTTTTTCATTTTTATTGTAAAACAATTTGGTTTTCTTTAAAAATTAGAGTAATTTTTTCTGAAATGAAAGATTTTTAAGGTGCGAGATTCCAGATCTGCTAGATTTCCCAGCAGTCACTAATTTCTCTGCCTTTTCATCCATCACGAACTTACTTCAATCCCCAACTTACATTCAGGATTACTTTTCTTAATCAGTAAGAGGGAATTTTATTTAGAAAGAGGATCTCATTCTTTAGCATCCTATGAATTAGTAAGATTGATGGTTTTATTTCTAATACAGCCAAGTGGTAATGAACAGTTGATTAAAACAGAATTAGCATATAAAAATCCAAACTATGGATTTGACAATCCATAAGGAAATATTACTCAAGATAATTCTTCTTAGGAAAAGTGAGGAACTATTGAGATGAACATAAACCCCTTTTACTTCTCTTTTTTATTTGTAAGTATATGTCATTCTTCTGGCAGC